GTGGACACCCAGGTATCGGAAACTGTCCACTCTCTCCACTGGCGTGCCACTGATGATGAGGGGTTTGTAATTCCTCGCCTGCTTTGTAGTGAAGTCCACGATCAGCTCCTTAGTCTTGCTGATGTTTAGGAGGAGGTTATTCTCCTGGCACCAGGTCTCCAGGTTCCTAATCTCCTCCAGGTAGGCCGTCTCGATGTTGTCGGAGATCAGGCCCACAACACAGTGTCGTCAGCAAACTTGACAATGGAGGTGGTGTCGTGATGTGGCTACACAGTCATAAGTGTACAGTGAGTACAGCAGGGGGCTTAAAACACAGCCCTGAGGCACTCCAGTGCTGAGTGAGATGGAGGGGGAGACTTGTTTTCCCACCCTCACTGATTGGGGTCTGTCTGTGAGGAAGTTGAGGATCCACTGACACAGTGATGAGCTGAGTCCTAGATCCGTCAACTTGGTGAAAAGCTTAGAGGGAATTATTGTGTTGAATGCTGAACTGTAGTCCACGAACAGCATCCTAACATAATTCCCTCTGCCAGTGTCCAGGTGACTCAGGGATGTGTGGAGCAGGTGAGATATGGCATCGTCTGTGGAACGATTAGTCCGGTAAGCAAACTGAAGTGAGTCGATGGTGGCAGGAAGTGAAGAAGTGATGTGATCTCTCATCAGTCTTTCAAAACACTTCATCACAATTGAAGTCAGTGCTACTGGACGGTAGTCATTGTGGCAAGCGGGCTGTTGTTTCTTTGGAACAGGGACAATAATGACTTTTAAGCATCGTGAACCACAGCTTGCCAGGAAGTGTGAAGATCTCCGTAACCGGTGCTAGTGGTCAGGAGCTTCAGGATCCCGGCAGGGATTGATCTGTCCTATGCCTCCTGTGTTCACCTCCTGAAGTGTCCTCACGGCATGCCCTTGATGATGAAGCATTTTCTTCTGGGCACTCCGGCGTGCGCAGCCGTTGTTGTTTTAAATGTAGTGCAGAGCGATGAGCTTTACTTGAAAGGAATTCTAGTGCTTAATAATTTTACTCCTCACTACGTACGACTCTGGATACTGTAGCTCCTGTGAAAACTAAGGCCTCAAATCAGAAGTACTTGACTCCGTGGTATAATTCTCAAACACGTAGCCTAAAGCAGATGACTCGTAAGCTGGAGAGGAAATGGCGTGTCACAAATTTAGAGGATCATCATTTAGCCTGGAGAAATAGTTTGCTGCTTTATAAGAAAGCCCTCCGCAAAGCCAGAACATCTTACTATTCATCACTGATTGAAGAAAATAAGAACAACCCCAGGTTTCTCTTCAGCTACTGTAGCCAGGCTGACAAAAAGTCAGAGCTCTTTTGAGCCAACCATCCCTTTAACGTTAACTAGTAATGACTTCATGAACTTCTTCACAAATAAAATTTTTATCATTAGAGAAAAAATTACCAGTAATCATCCCACAGATGTAATATTATCTACAGCTACTCTTAGTACCATTGATGTTAAGTTAGACTCTTTTTCTCCAATTGATCTTTCTGAGTTAACTTCAATAATTACTTCCTCCAAACCATCAACGTGTCTTTTAGACCCCATTCCTACAAAACTGCTCAAAGAAGTCCTGCCATTAATTAATTCTTCGATCTTAAATATGATCAACCTATCTCTAATAGATCGCTATGTACCACAGGCCTTCAAGCTGGCTGTAGTTAAACCTTTACTCAAAAACTCCAACTTCCTTATACTCAAACAATCCTTGAAAGAGTAGTTGTCAAACAGCTAACAGATATTAAATCGTTCTTTGATTCTTAACACCAAGAAAGACTCGGACTTCAAAGTGGTCAAAGCTCAAAAAAGATCTTTATATTTTACATATTCCGGATATGGAGACCTGAGCACACAGAGAGCAGCCAAGTCTGAGCAGCAGCGGCAGTCTGATATTATATACTTCCTCTACACGTCACGCACACTTTAAGTTCGATCAAACACTCTACTTAGTTTCACTTTCTGCTGCAGCTCATATTTGCAAAAGCATGCAGTTTCCTGTCAGCCTGCGACCTAGTTTTACACCCAAGTCTGGGCCACTTATAAAACAATCTAATCAGCAAATAAGCATTAAGAATATATATTTATTTCTTAACACAGATCATCTGCAGAGGAATGGTTTATTTGAAGAGTTTCAGTCAGGTTTCAGAGCTCATCACAGCACAGAAACAGCTTTAGTGAAGGTTACAAATGATCTTCTTATGGCCTCTGACAGTGGACTCATCTCTGTGCTTGTCCTGCTAGACCTCAGTGCAGCATTCGATACTGTCGACCATAATATCCTATTAGAGCGATTAGAACATGCTGTAGGTATTACAGGTACTGCACTGCAGTGGTTTGTATCATATCTATCTAATAGACTCCAGTTTGTGCATGTAAATGGAGAGTCCTCTTCACACACTGAGGTTAATTATGGAGTTCCACAGGGTTCAGTGCTAGGACCAATTCTGTTTACATTATACATGCTTCCCTTAGGCAGCATCATTAGAAGACATAGCATACATTTTCACTGCTATGCAGATGACACCCAGCTCTATCTGTCCATGAAGCCAGATAACACACACCAATTAGTTAAACTGCAGGAATGTCTTAAAGACATAAAGACCTGGATGGCCGCTAACTTTCTGCTTCTTAATTCAGATAAAACTGAGGTTATTGTACTCGGCCCTGAAAATCTTAGAAATATGGTATCTAACCAGATTCTTACTCTGGATGGCATTACCTTGGCCTCCAGTAACGCTGTGAGGAACCTTGGAGTCATTTTTGACCAGGACATGTCCTTCAACGCACATATTAAACAAATATGTAAGACTGCTTCTTCCATTTGCGCAACATCTCTAAAATTAGAAATATCCTGTCTCAGAGTGACGCTGAAAAACTAGTTCATGCATTTATTACTTCCAGGCTGGACTACTGTAATTCATTATTATCAGGATGTCCAAAAAACTCCTGAAAAGCCTTCAGCTAATCCAAAATGCTGCAGCAAGAGTCCTGACAGGGACTAGAAAGAGAGAGCATATTCTCTGTTTATGAATCCTAGCAAGTATGATTAAAATCTAGCCTACATACAAGTTTATATCAGGCCCCTCTTCTTGAAACCTTGTAGTCTATCAGCCTATTAGAGACTTCGGAGACAGACACTATCTCTACTTTCAAGATTAGGCTTAAAACTTTCCTTTTTGCTAAAGCATATAGTTAGGGCTGGACCAGGTGACCCTGAATCCTCCCTTAGTTATGCTGCAATAGATGTAGGCTGCCTGGGGGATTCCCATGATGCATTGAGTTTTTCCTTTCCAGTCACCTTTCTCACTCACTATGTGTTAAAGACCTCTCTGCATTGAATCATATCTGTTATTAACCTCTGTCTCTCTTCCACAGCATGTCTTTTATCCTGTCTTCCTTCTCTCACCCCAACCGGTCGCAGCAGATGGCCCCGCCCCTCCCTGAGCCTGGTTCTGCCGGAGGTTTCTTCCTGTTAAAAGGGAGTTTTTCCTTCCCACTGTCGCCAAAGTGCTTGCTCATAGGGGGTCATATGATTGTTGGGTTTTTCTCTGTATGTATTATTGGCATTATATATTGAAGGATACTTGGCTTGACCTTGAGTAGCCAGGAATCGAACCATCATGGCACCAGTTTTAACTGCTATGTACTTCTCTATTTTAAATTTTCTTGTCATTAGCAGACACATGTAAATGACCAGTTGGAGCTGCCATGGAGTTGAGCTGTGTCACATTTACAAAATCCCAAAATCATATGAATGAAACCTCTGCTAACAGGTTTTTTACTGTGTCTGTACAAACTGATGCCTGAAGTCTATTTTTTAACCTTTATTTATACACATAGTCTCATTGAGACCCAATGTCTCATTTGCAAGAGAGACCTGTTCCAGACAAACAAAATAAAATTACAACAAAAAAGCCAAGTCTGTCTAATATACGCAGTCATCTTAAAAAGATCTCTCTCCATTTCTAAGTTAATTTGTAAATTTTGTAGTAACCTGTAAATTGTATGACTAATACTGTAAAACTTTTTTCTGTCATTTAATGGTCGGGCATTGTACAGCTACAAGCATTTCACCCCCATGTCATACTGTGTATGGTTGTGTGTGTGTGACAAATAAAATTTGAATTTGAATTTGAGTAGTGTTCAGGTTGCTGCTCTGTGTTGGTACAGGCAGTGGCGGTCCTATCCTGTTTGGTGCCCTGGGCGAACACCCCTGGACTCTGTTAGGGTGGTGTCTGAGTGGCAGATGTTGTCCAAGATAAGGACAATCATGGATAATACCTCCCACCCACTCCATGACATACTGGCTACTCACAGGAGCACACTCAGTGAGAGACAGATTACCAAAGAGCACCACTGAACGACACAGGAAATCATTCCTGCCTGTGGCCATCTTCCTGTGACACATCAGCTTCCCGGTTTCTTTTGCTCATTTCTCCTCCTCCTCTTTTCTCTAAACCGAGCACCTGATGGCTTTGAACATTGGTTTTAATTTTGCACTCCAGTATGAACACAAATCCCCCAACCTGAGGATCACCACAACATAACCTAATAGACCTACACCTTAGTTCACAGATTTGCTTTGTCTAGGGTTTATGTCTGGGATTTCGCACAACCCAGGATTCAAATCATGAATACATAATGGGCTTGGATGAATGAAATGTGCTCTATTTGGAAGCAGCCAGCACCCTTTCCTGTCGACAGGTTGTGTGTGAGAGACTTTAAATCATCAAACTGTAAATTACAAATTGTTATTGATCCCTTCACTCCTAGTATATATTTATTTTCTTACTCTTCTTATATTTATTGTTTACTTGCACTGCTGTAATTGGAGCCTCGTCGTCTCGTCTCTCTGTATACGTTACTGTATATGGTGGAGTACGGTAAAGTTTATTTTGACCTATTTTTACCGCAGCAGCTGATCGAAAGGAGGATTTCTGTTGATGTGCACATGAATGATTTGTGTTTCCTCTGCAGGTGAAGGTAGAAAGTGTGTGTGAGCTGATGTGGATGTGAATTCAGCAGCATGGATCGGTGTGAGGACAGAGAGGAGGGAGTCCCTCCCTCTAACTCCACTCTGTGTGGGGAATATGAGAGCCAGACCAAAGCTCAGAGGTGAGATGACCATCTCTAACTGTCCATGACTCTTCTTCATGTCACAACTCAGCACTCACATCACTGCTCCATCTTTATTCACAGGAACCAACCTGGACCTGAACCCAGCTGTGGGTCTGACAAGTCTAAAGAAGAGGGCATTCAATTCATTCAACTTCAGCAAACACAAAGTGAAAAAACATTTAATTCAAACATAAACTAAAGCAGAAAGTAACTGCCTTATTTGGTCTCTATCTATCTATCTATCTATCTATCTATCTATCTATCTATCTATCTATCTATCTATCTATCTATCTATCTGTCTATCTATCTATCTATCTATCTATCTATCTTACTCTATCTATCTATCTATCTATCTATCTATCTATCTATCTATCTATGGATATAAGAGATAAAGATTTACATATATAAATAAAAGCAAGCAGTTGACTTGTTAATATTTTGAAATATCTGTAACTGACCAGAGGCAAAAAAAACAACAACCCCCAAACAAACATTATGGCCCATCCGACACGAAATGATCACCATTCAGCTGGATGAATTAGTGAAAATAGCGAAAAGAGCAGCCAGCTCTGTTTACAGTTTTTCTCAGTCGCTTTGGTGCGTTTCTCAGAACACCATTAACATTTGCACAGCAGTTAGTGCATTTCCCAAAACAATTAGTGCAAACTGCAAAACCTAGTGGATAGCCTGCAAAAGCACGTCACATGCACAGAATTGATTATCCATACCTCAAAAGCAAGTATCCATGTCAATGAAACTGTCAGTGCCATCAAAATGAAAAGTCTTGACACCATCTTTATGAACAAGATAGTCAAATGGCATTGTCATGTTTCCACTATGACAGTTTATAATTTCAGTGTTTCCCATTGCAAAAACAATTGGTGACACCTGAAAATGCTGACGACAGCACTATGGCCTACCTGTACAGCCATCTGAAATGTGCAGTAAAGTCACTGTAGATGTTATGGGAGTCTTGGGAGTAACTGAGACACTGAATACGTACGTTTCACATTTCCATTGTGTAGAAGTGTTTGTAATCCTACAGAATTGTGCAAAAGAAAAATATGCTACAGTCACTTGTTCACTGTAGAATACATGTAAACATAAAATCACCCATTTGGTAGAGCTGTGCACTAATGTGAACAATAAACAGCACATGTAACAGTACAGTAAATCATTCTGGCACATCCAGACGTTCCTGTCTGTCTGGCCACATATTTTCATCTACATCACAACAGATGTTATCCCTCGCAATGCAGCGAGGAAAGTATCTCCTGGAGTGGCGAATCCATCCTCTGCAGGACCCTGCTGTGATGTCGTCACATGCTGCATCCATGGCTGCTAGCAGGGCCATTTGCTCATGTGGATGCCGGTCATAAACTTTCCACCTCCAGGCAGAGAAAAACTCCTCTATTGGATTAAGGAATGGGGAATATGGAGGGAGATATTCAACCAGAATTCTGTCATGTGCTGCAAACCACTCTCTGACCTGATGGGAGTGGTGAAAACGGACATTATCCCAGACAACAACATACTTGCTGAGTTGGCCTCCACCTCTCTCATTCTCAGGGACTAGGTCCCTGTAAAGAGTGTCTAAAAATGTCAGGAGATGTTGGGTATTGTATGGACCAAGAAGGGGGACATGGGTGAGGACGCCGTTGTCTGAGATGGCACAGTACAGTACAGTGTATTACTGTTTGCATACCTGTTTTCCCTACGGAATGTTTGAATGATTGAACTGACAGTAGTTCTTCCAATATTGGGTTGCACCCTTCGACCAGCCTCCTCCATGGTGAGGCCGTGATTGACAACATGGTCCACAATTGTAGCCCTTATTTCATTAGGAATCCGCCTATATCTGCCTCTTCTCCCTCTTCCCCTTCCCCTTCCTCCCCGCATCCTCACCCCTCTTCCACGGTGCTGACCTTCCATTTTGTGTCACAGAAGTGTAGAAATGGTACACGCCTCCTCATGAGTGACAGCTGTAATTCACCTGAGATCAATTGTTCAATTTCGGAGACATTTCCAGGAAAAATGATACAGAAAGGTATAGGATTTGCTTGACAGATGGCCAATATTTGGCATGTGATAACTAGTTCAACAATTTTGTGTGTGATGACTTAAGCAATGGATGTATGACTATTAGTTTTATTGGGAACGACTATTCAGCATCCATAGGTATGATTACTTTTGACTGACATGACATAAGCAAATGGAAATGTCAGAAAGCAGCAGGGAAATGTATGGAAGCAACTGATTCATGTCCAAAATCATTTGCAGTTTGTTCAGAGAGAGGAGAAATTGCTACTATGATGTGCACAAATGACTGAGTGTTGTGGAGGTTGAACTAATAGTTATGAGAATTTCAATTCTGATCTGAGAAACGCACCAAAGCGACTGAGAAAAACTGTAAGTTTCGTTTTCACAGGACATATTATACTTGGGATATAAAATATGTTGTAAGAATTTCATCATTCTTGATCTGAGATAACGCACCAAATAGGCTGACTTCGAGTGGAAATAACTGGGCATTTCTCTCTGGCAACGGCACTGATTTTTAATGGATCAGTTGGCTTTCCATAACCATTTCCCTGCTGCTCCTGAACATTTCCATTCTCCGGTTAAAATGTGGCGGTACTGTTCCTAGATGATCAAAATTACGAGACATAACATAAAATAACACTCGCGTAATGAGGATCAGTGGTGGAAATTAGTCGTCTTCCTCATCACTCTCTATAAAGACCTGTTAGAGAGTTTCTACGTCGATAATTATCATCTAACAAAATAAACTGTTAGACAATTGTATTATGCATCAAATTCTTTTAACGAGCATAACAAAGAAATAGTCGTACTTTTTTTGCATATTAATCTAATAACGTCATATCAAGTGGGACAGATTTATCTCTTAATATTATAGTTTTGGTTTGCGGTCATTCTGTGTTCAAAGCTCTAACTAAATCGTCTCCTGCATGTAACTATCACAGCGTGGACCAGGACAGCTCATGAGGTTACCAGTTGGCTTCGTTCATTACTTCAGCAGCATGGATTTCCCATATTATGTGTACGATCTACAAATATTACTTACTATTTTCCTGTTTCATGAGGACTTGCATGTCTTGGCGGTCTCTCTGGTGCACTTCACGATAGGTCGAGATGAGTTTGTTTCATTTGAATCAAGAACATGTTATTGTCAGCATTTGTTGCCTTCCCTATGACACTCAGCACAAAACATGGAAAGAAGAGACGGAAGTATTCGCCGGGGGAAGGGTGAGGGATGCCGGTCAGTAGTATTGTTAGAGGGGGGGAGGGGAAGGAGAAAAGAAGGGAGTAACAAACGGTACACTTTGGCAGCTGGGCAGGCCAAAAAAATAAATAAATGGAATAAAATAACATTTTATTTAGAAGCGCCTTTCAAGAATTGAGTATACCTTAGAAGCAGTTAAATAATAAAATCACAGTATGGCTAATACCACTTGAAAGAGAACATACTACATAATACTACATAGTATTGGGTAGTATTGTAGTGAATACTGCATAAAATGAATCAGAAAAGGAAAGTTTAAAAATATGTGTGTAATGTTGTGAAAGTGGTGTGAAAGAAAGTTCCAGTGCACACTCAGCTGAAAGTACTGGAGGGTAATTTGAGCAGATGGGAAAATAACAGTAGCAGAGGAGGATGACGTCAGAGTACGGGAAGGAGTGGAGATGTGCTGAAGATCAGATATGGAGGTGTGACTTTATGGAGATATTTTGAAGTAAGAAGCAGAATCTAAAATCAATGTGATATTTCACAGGAAACCAGTGAAGTGGTTGAAGAGCAGTAGTAATGGGTTCGATTAATGACACAAGCAGCTGAACTTTGCACCAGCTGAAGTCTATGGAGATATTTGTGTGGTAATCTAGACAGGATAAAATTATAATAATCCATATGGAATATAACCAGAGCTTGTACAAGAATAGCAGTACTGTTATCTGTGGGGAATGATAACTAATTTTATGTAGCTGGAAATATGATGACCAAGTAATAATACTGATAAGTATTTCAAAGTTTAGTGCTCTATCAAGAGAAACATCTCCTCATCTCCGAATAACAATGTATGGTCATACAATGTACTATATGGATTATCTGCCACATGCTGTGGGATCATAAAAATTATACTACTGAAAAGGGCATAAAGGTATTACACTGCACGGCGCAGTAACACTGAGGTGGAAAATTTCTGGCTTCACCAGATTGGATAAAGGCTCCATAATATCCAGAATTAGCTGCAGATGTAGAGAGACGTGTTCTTAAGAACAACATGAGACATAACTTTGTGACAACATTAAGATTTAAGAGCAATATAAAGGGATAGATATATGGAAAATATTCTCAGAAACTGTGGATTTTGCCTTGCCCCACTTCTTTTAGAGAACAAGGGTTTGAATTTCATTGAGGTTTTGTGTATGTTGAGCCTAATTAAACTGATTCCTAGAAACAGTTTTGGGGTATTTCATAAAATATTTTGTTCCAGACGTTGGAGGACCAAATAATCTCTTTTGTGAGGAACGAGCTGAAGAACATCAAGACAGGTCTGAGTCCAGATGACCTAGAATGTTTTAAGAGTCAATGTGAGGATGAGGCTGTATTACAGAGTGTGGATGAAGAACACAGTACGAGCAGAAGAGAAGCTTTTGTGATGATTACAGTGGACTTCCTGAAGAGAATGAAGCAGATTAAGTTCGCTGAGTGTTTGCTGAGAGGTGAGAATTTTTCTCTAAATAAAAAAACATTCTAAAAAAACATGCTAAAACATTCAACAATATTTCAAGTAATAGAAAAAAATACATTCAACATATGTGATGAATCATTGATTTTGTGTGTGTGTGTGTCACTCAGGAACCTGCACTCGGAACTTCCAGCGGCATCAACATGAATTTAAATCTAACATGAAGAAGAAGTTCCAATGTGTGTTTGAGGGGATCGCTAAAGCAGGAGACCAAACCCTTCTGAATCAGATCTACACAGAGCTCTACATCACAGAGGGACGGACTGTAGATGTCAGCGATGAACATGAGGTCAGACAGATTGAAACAACATCCAGGAAACCAGACACTCTAGAAGCAATAATCAGACAAGAAGACATCTTTAAAGACTCACGTGAAAGACATAAACCAATCAGAACAGTGCTGACAAAGGGAGTGGCTGGCATAGGGAAAACTGTCTTAACACAGAAATACACCCTCGACTGGGCTGAAGACAAAGCCAACCAGCACATCGAGTTCATATTTCCATTCACTTTCAGAGAGCTGAATGTGCTGAAAGAGGAAAAGTTCAGCTTGGTGGAACTTGTTCATCACTTCTTTACTGAAACCAAAGAAGCAGGAATCTGCAGCTTTGAAGACTTCCAGGTTGTGTTCATCTTTGATGGTCTGGATGAGTGTCGACTTCCTCTGGACTTCCACAAAACTACAATCCTAACTGACCCTAGAAAGTCCTCCTCAGTGGATGTGCTGCTGATAAACCTCATCAGGGGGAAACTGCTTCCCTCTGCTCGTCTCTGGATAACCCCCCGCCCTGCAGCAGCCAATCAGATCCCTCCTGAATGTCTTGGCAGGGTAACAGAGGTCAGAGGGTTCACTGACCCACAGAAGGTGGAGTACTTCAGGAAGAGATTCACAGATAAGAAGCAGATCAGCACCATCATCTCCCACATTAAGACCTCACGAAGCCTTCACATCATGTGCCACATCCCAGTCTTCTGCTGGATCACTGCTACAGTTGTGGAGGATGTGCTGAAAACCAGAGAGGGAGGACAGCTGCCCAAGACCCTGACTGAGATGTACATCCACTTCCTGGTGGTTCAGGCCAAAGTGAAGAAGGTCAAGTATGATGGAGGAGCTGAGACAGATCCACACTGGAGTCCAGAGAGCAAGAAGATGATTGTGTCTCTGGGAAAACTGGCTTTTGATCACTTGCAGAAAGGAAACCTGATTTTCTATGAATCAGACCTGATAGAGTGTGGCATCGATATCAGAGCAGCCTCGGTGTACTCAGGAGTGTTCACACAAATCTTTAAAGAGGAGAGAGGACTTTACCAGGACAAGGTGTTCTGCTTTATCCATCTGAGTGTTCAGGAGTTTCTGGCTGCTCTTCATGTCCATCTGACCTTCATCAACTCTGGAGTCAATCTGCTGGTAGAACAAGTAATTACATCCCAGATGTCTGAAAGAAGAGAAGAATCTGCAGGGAGACACTTCTACCAGAGTGCTGTGGACAAGGCCTTACAGAGTCCAAATGGACACCTGGACTTGTTCCTCCGCTTCCTCCTGGGTCTTTCATTGCAGACCAATCAGACTCTCCTACGAGGCCTTCTGACAGAGACACGAAGTAACAAACAGGAAACAGTTCAGTACATCAAGAAGAAGCTCAGTGAGAATCTGTCTGCCGAGAAAAGCATCAATCTGTTCCACTGTTTGAATGAACTGAATGATTGTTCTCTAGTTGAAGAGATCCAACAGTCGCTCAAATCAGGAAGACTTTCCCAAAATAAACTTTCTCCTGCTCAGTGGTCAGCTCTGGTCTTCATCTTACTGTCATCAGAAAAAGATCTGGATGTGTTTGACCTGAAGAAATACGTTTCAGAGGAGGCTCTTCTGAGGCTGCTGCCAGTGGTCAAAGTCTCCAACAAAGCTCTGTATGTATGCATCTATATACACGTTGAAATGTTTATGCAAGTACGGTTTATAGCAACAGAAAGTCTTAGCATTTCTAAAACATTTGTGTATTTAATCTTTATCAAAATGGAACCAGAGTTTTTCTTTAACTCTTCAAAAACTAATATGAATAAAAAGAAAATTATAAAAAAAATTCCTGGAAAGAGCTAAGGCAACTTGTTTTTTAACAGAGGATGAATGGTGTGTTCATCAAGGTTAAGTATGTGATAATTAAGGATTATTTCGAACTGTATCTAGCAACAGCAATCACTCCTACTCTAATTAGGAAAGTATAGATGCCTGTGTCAGTGGGTATTGATCTGTAATCACTAAAAGTACTAGATCTCCACTTGCTTAACAGATACAGTGGTGTAACTGTGATATTTTGAAGCAAGTTCTGTTTTCTTTCTTTTTTCCAAGTTGAAAATAAGTTATTTAATTTGATCACAAATATAATTTCAGACTGTCTGGCTGTAACCTCACAGACAGAAGCTGTGAAGCTCTGTGCTCAGTTCTCAGCTCCCAGTCCTCTAGTTTGGGAGAACTAGACCTGAGTAACAATGACCTGTGTGACTCAGGAGTAAAGCTTCTATCTGCTGGATTGAAGAGTCCAAGCTGTTCACTGAAAACTCTCAGGTAAGAATTAAAGCTTTTTTCATTAATTTATGTTTATAATCTGGATTATATTATTGATCAAGGAAAAACATTGTTAAATTCCAAATTGACCTATTATTCATATTTATATTAATTGGTAAATGGTAAATGGCCTGTATTTGTATAGTGCTTTACTCAGTCCCTAAGGCCCCCAAAGAGCTTTACACATTCAGTCATCCACCCATTCACACACACATTCACACACTGGTGATGGCAAGCTACATTGTAGCCACAGCCGCCCTGTGCCACACCGGACACTGGTGCCACCTGGCCCTCTGACCACCACCAGTAGGCAACAGGTGAAGTGTCTTGCCCAACGACACAACGACCAAGACTCTTAGCCTCTCATTTACAAATTTTATTTATTAATCTTCACATTTTTAAAAATCATTGACTATGAACCTGTGTATATGCTTGTATAACAGAACATTTCATTACTGTAAACTTGATGTTTTTAACACAAGAAATAAAAGCATAACCTGTGTATTGACAAAACCTTAGGGCAGTGAAAAAAGAAATCAACAGCACCTATCAATTGTAAAAATGGATAAAATAAATAAAAAAAACATTCAATAACACAAACAAATTGCTCTGAAAGGTAAAAAATTACACAAAACAAGGCACTAAATATAATAAAGGAAACATTTTCTATATCTGATCCTGTGGCAATGAAGTTGAAACAGATAAAGTGCTCTTTTGTCTTTTGCAGAATTTAGTCCGGTTTATCAATTTCCGATAAATAGCCATTAACCATAACCGATGACCTCTGTGTCTTTATATAGGAATCTATGCGTATCAATTGGTTACTCCTTTCAACCTTTGTGTCCCACCTTGAGAATCTATATGTTTTTTGCCTCAGATAAATTGGGGCCGCAAAGCAATTTTTAATAGCAAGATTTAATAACATATGTGCTGTAATCTTTGCTTTCATTGTGTTAATGTATTACTTCCTGTTACAACACAATGTGGTGTTTTGTGTTGCTTAAACCTTTCAGTGCAATAATTGCAAACTTTTACATATTGACTTATTTTATACTGTGATTTACATCTGCTTTTGAAAGCACACTTTCATTTGAACCACCAGCAAATTAAATTCTTAGTATGTCAGTAGCAGTATGGTCTGTGGTTCTCCAGCTGTGTCACCACCACTTTCCTGCTCAGTGTCAAATGTTTAGTTATTCATCTGTCTCTTCAACACTAAAGGTACTTCACTGTTCTGAAAATATTCCTGCTAAAATTGAAAAGATTTTTTTCTCAGGGTGATGCTGAAAAAACAGTTTGAGCATTTGTTACTTTGAGGTTTGACTTTGACTGTAATCATTATCTTCTAAATGCTCCCACAGAAGTTTTCAGTTGCTCCAAAATGCTGCAGTGAGATTACAGAGACAGAGGCATTGAAAAAGAGATCGTACTTCTCCCATAATAGCTTCTATTACCCCATTTTCTGGACTATAAGGCACACTGTCACTGAATGGGTCTGTTTTCATAAATAAGGTGCACCGGATCATAAGGCACAACAACAAGTTGTGCCTTATAACAAACTTTATTTGTCACATACACAATCACACAACATGAGTGTTGCATGCTTGTGTCTGAGCTGCGAACAGGGTGCAGATGTAGCCGCACTCTTCCCGGGCTTAGTTAAAACAGCTGTGCAAACGTGACACCGGTGATAGTTTGATCGGAACGTCAGGGAAAAGCCTGCGGGATGCGACCCAAAGGCCCACCCCGAGAGCAGAGAAACTGCCCCACACTGTCTGCAGACACGGGAGGTGGCTGAAAGTCAGGGGGCAGTCGGAGGGAGGGCAAGCCCTGAGAGCGGCCACTGGGTCCTCAAAGGCCTCCAGCTGATCCCCAGGGCCCGAAGCTGGGACATCAGGAGCAGAAGTGTAGCTCACCACTGACTGGGACCCCGGCTGGCCGCGCAAACCCATGACACGCGGGCAATACACTAGATAGGGAGAGGATGGTGGAGGATGGAGAACTGTCACTTGCTGGCTGAGGTTTCAGACACAGTGAGTTCGGACTGGCTCGTTAACCGGCGAACCACGGGCAACACACCAGGGGACACAGCCTGCAACAGCAGGTTGAGCAAGGGATGTGACCCGAAGGTCCGTGCTGAGAGCCAAGCAGCCACTCCGCACCGTCCTTGGACAGAGGAACAGCAAGAGTGAACTCGTGAACGAGACACCTGTAGGCTGCCAGGAAATTTAGCTCACTGAGTGAGCCCCTGAGTGGCTGCGTAAACCTGCAGTTTCCTTTTAAATTCAGAGTTTATAAAAATCCTTTTCTCATGATTTCCCGAATGATCAGGCCATAAAGAAACAATAATACCATATTTACTTTTGCAGGTTAAAATTGTGGTTCTTAGTGTTTCCAAAAAGTAGAATTAGATAATTAAACTTGAAACAATAGTGTTAAATGGACTAACTTTTATATAGCGCTTTATACAGCATCCCACATTCACCCAAGCACTGTTTTCCAACTAAAATTCATACTCTGATGGATGCAAATTGGGGTTAGTATCTTGCCGAAGGATATTGGGCATGCAGACTGGGGGAGCCAGGGACCGAACCACCAACCTTCCAATCAGCAGATGACCTGCTTTACCTCCTGAGCTATAGCCACCCCTTGATAATCTGACTACATAACAAGTCTTATCTAGTCAAATGGATGGATGGCCCTGGATTTGGAGATAAGAAAAACAAATAAAACAATCCTTACGTGCAGTATTCACAGATGGATTGTTTTTTTCTTTTTTTGTTTGTTTACTTTTGTCTGCAGTCTATCAGGCTGTCTAATTACAGAGGAAGGCTGTACTTCTCTGGCTTCAGCTCTGAACTCCAACCCCTCCCATCTGAGAGAGCTGGACCTGAGCTACAATCATCCGGGTCCCTCAGGAGTGGAGCTCCTTTCGTCTCAACTGAAGGATCCACGCTGGAGACTGGACACTCTCAGGTATGGGAATAGTGTCCGATAGACGAGGAAGAGCTGAAAACATTTTCTTTAAATAATTTAATTCTTTAATTTGTGTTTGTTTCATGCAGATGTGACATAAACAAACACACAACAAACTTCTATCTATATTTAATTATTTAACTATAATTATTTACAGCCGTGGCTCAATAATTTGTTGAAACCGCTTTGGCAGCAATTACAGCCTCAAGTCTGTTTGGGACAAATAATCAATTTCTGTGCTTTTGCCTAGTTTTTAAACTTTGTTTTGAAAAATACAGCATACAAAGTAGAGTACGAAATCCCATGAAAATGGAAAGATACTTAAACACAAAAATCTGACAAAACAGAGCTGGTAAAGAAAATATGAGAGGTTTAAATGTGGCTGCGTGTAGTCAATGTGAGGGTACTCATTTATGTTCAGTCCACAATTAACGCATTTGAGCAGAGGAAAACGTGGGGATTAAAATGATGATAAGAGAAAAACAACAATAAATTATTATTCTGTTGTGGTCAGTAATGTATTACACAGTAATTGTCCATTTCCTTAAAATAATGCAGTACATTGGTCTTTCAAAAAAATGCATACCAAACTGCAGTTGTTTGTATTCACTTACACAGCATGTCTGTACAATTTACTGGAGTCATCAAAAACAGCAGACAGCAGTCATATCTCAAGTCTAATAACAGAAGACGGGAAGCTGTTTTGATCCTTAATGACTGTGTCAGTCGTTATAACTTACAACACACAAGGTCAATGTAGACCTCATACTAGCAAATTAGACTAGCACCAACAGGGAGTGCAGAATTATTAGGCAAGTTGTATTTTTGAAGAATAATTTTATTATTGAACAACAACCATGTTCTCAATGAACCCAAAAAACTCATTAATATCAAAGCTGAATGTTTTTGGAAGTCGTTTGTAGTTTGTTTTTAGTTTTAGCTATTTTAGGGGGATATCTGTGTGTGCAGGTGACTATTACTGTGCATAATTATTAGGCAACTTAACAAAAAACAAATATATACCCATTTCAATTATTTATTTTTACCAGTGAAACCAATATAACATCTCCACATTCACAAATATACATTTCTGACATTCAAAAACAAAACAAAAACAAATCAGCGACCAATATAGCCACCTTTCTTTGCAAGGACACTCAAAAGCCTGCCATCCATGGATTCTGTCAGTGTTTTGATCTGTTCACCATCAACATTGCGTGCAGCAGCAACCACAGCCTCCCAGACACTGTTCAGAGAGGTGTACTGTTTTCCCTCCTTGTAAATCTCACATTTGATGATGGACCACAGGTGAACAAGGAGGCCATGTCATTAGTTTTTCTTCTTTTATACCCTTTCTTGCCAGCCACGCTGTGGAGTACTTGGACGCGTGTGATGGAGCATTGTCCTGCATGAAAATCATGTTTTTCTTGAAGGATGCAGACTTCTTCCTGTACCACTGCTTGAAGAAGGTGTCTTCCAGAAACTGGCAGTAGGACTGGGAGTTGAGCTTGACTCCATCCTCAACCCGAAAAGGCCCCACAAGCTCATCTTTGATGATACCAGCCCAAACCAGTACTCCACCTCCACCTTGCTGGCGTCTGAGTCGGACTGGAGCTCTCTGCCCTTTACCAATCCAGCCACGGGCCCATCCATCTGGCCCATCAAGACTCACTCTCATTTCATCAGTCCATAAAACCTTAGAAAAACCAGTCTTGAGATATTTCTTGGCCCAGTCTTGACGTTTCAGCTTGTGTGTCTTGTTCAGTGGTGGTCGTCTTTCAGCCTTTCTTACCTTGGCCATGTCTCTGAGTATTGCACACCTTGTGCTTTTGGGCACTCCAGTGATGTTGCAGCTCTGAAATATGGCCAAACTGGTGGCAAGTGGCATCTTGGCAGCTGCACGCTTGACTTTTCTCAGTTCATGGGCAGTTATTTTGCGCCTTGGTTTTTCCACACGCTTCTTGCGACCCTGTTGACTATTTTGAATGAAACGCTTGATTGTTCGATGATCACGCTTCAGAAGCTTTGCAATTTTGAGACTGCTGCATCCCTCTGCAAGATATCTCACTATTTTTGACTTTTCTGAGCCTGTCAAGTCCTTCTTTTGACCCATTTTGCCAAAGGAAAGGACGTTGCCTAATAATTATGCACACCTGATATAGGGTGTTGATGTCATTAGACCACACCCCTTCTCATTACAGAGATGCACATCACCTAATATGCTTAATTGGTAGTAGGCTTTCGAGCCTATACAGCTTGGAGTAAGACAACATGCATAAAGAGGATGATGTGGACAAAATACTCATTTGCCTAATAATTCCGAACTCCCTGTATAGTACAAATAACACCATCTATTACTGTGTCTGAATGTGTGGTATTGGCACTGCCAGTTTAGGCCTAAAGAGATATGAGTTTTAAAAAAAGACCACCTAATTTAAATGTATACATTACATGCTTGTTAAAAGCTAACTTCCATAAGCACAATAACCAGATGAAACATATGGCAGTGTTTATATGTAACATAGGCAACCTTAAAATGTTTCTTATGATTCAACTGTGGGATTTAACTGAATTCTTTAGAAGGACAGGCTAAATTACTTTATTTTCAACTTTAAGGCCAACCTACATTTTAACTATTTAACAGGCCACTAATCTAGTTTATGGCTTTGCACTTTCACAACCAAACATGTATCTAAACACATTGTTTTAATAAAAAAAAAAATACTATTGATATTATTATTATTACTGTTATTTAACATGTAATTAAACAGAAATGTTCATTAAATATAAAAGCAGTTTGCTTATGTTGTTAAAGAAAGGCTAGATTTGACATTAAGAGATGCTACAGATGTTCAAAAGCAACAAAAAAAGCCTTAAAAGAAATACGGAGTTTAAGAATATGTAACGTTATAAAGGTTCATAAGGGTGAAGCTTCTCCAGGTTTGCTCATCATATTTCAGAAAAAAAAACGCTGTGCACTATGAACATGCGAACTGATCTATGCCAGAGAGGAGGAAAGCAGTGACATGGAATTTTCAAACCATATTGTTTTGTCCTTCCGCACTGAGAAGCAAAATTTCCATCTTACTTAGTTTTTCTAATTTAAGACAACTCAAATAAACTGGGTTGATCGACTTTTTGGATGAAAAGTACTGGTAACCTACTTAAACTGAGTTCTAATAACAAGTTGATAAAAACTGAGTTCAGTCTACTTAACAGAAAATTTAAAGATGCTGACACACACACAGACGCAGCGGCTCACTGCTCCTCACGTTCGGTGCTTTGTTTTTTACTTTTTCCATGTGTATATGTGTGGGTGTATGCGTTTTCTATTACTATACATCAAGTGGAGTCCACTTACAGTCGACCTTTTGAGTTTACACTGTGCAAAGAACATTATGTAGGACTATCACCACTTCCATGGCATTCCGGAGGACATAATAAGAACTCCAGGGTCTCCATGGTTGGTTCTTCCCAGCGGTAAGCCAAAGAGGAAACATAAACAAAGGAGGCAAAAGCGTGGCTGCTCTAGCAAAGCTAAAGAAACAACCATTTAAGCCACCGTTTCCGAGTATCTTCCTCTTCAACGTCAGGTCCATAACCAACAAAAATGACAAACTGAGATTACAAACTGCAGTCAACAAGTATGTACAGGACAGCAGCATTGTACTATTCACAGAGACTTGGCTGCTGCCATCAATTCCGGTATTTACCAATACCTTATCGGTAGATTAATTCCAAACAGCTCTCATGTTTCCTCATTTTTCCAATCTCCTAACATGGGGACGTGTTGGGTGCCCGGAAGCCTAACATATTGACAATTTTTCACCTAGAATAAAATGTTATGCTTTGGGAGGGAGAACCTGTTGGGACTGAAGTGTATTTGTGAAACTGTTGGACTGTTCCATTATCAGTGTCTAACATTATGTGTATGACAGCGATGTAATGTCCATGTGTGCATGCTGAAAGAGACTGTGCTGGTCTGACCCCCCTCCTCCTTTCAGGGTGGAGCCTGCTGGAGTCCAGTGGTTGAGACCAGGTCTGAGGAAGTGTAAGTGTGTTTTTAATGTGATTCATGAAAACAAAGCAGCACACATTCAACCATCTTCAAACTGTCACATCACTCATTCACATCTCTGATGTCAGGAGGCATCAAAGTGTCAATCAGATGATGGATCAATAACTGCAGCTGGATTGTGTTTGTTCTCTCCACCAGATTCCTGTCAACCCACAATTGACACAAACACAGTACACAGAAACCTCAAACTGTCTGACAACAACAGGAAGGTGACACATGTGCATGAGGTTCAGTCGTATCCTGATCACCCAGACAGATTTGATGTTCATCAGCTGCTGTGTAGAAATGGTCTGACTGATCGCGGTTACTGGGAGGTCGAGTGGAAAGGAGAGGTTTGGATAACAGTGAGTTACAGAAGCATAAGAAGGAAAGGAGTCAGCAATGACTGTTATTTTGGAGAGAATGATCATTCCTGGAGGTTGTATTGCTCTGATGCTGGTCCTATTTATGTTTGTCACGATACCAAATTCGTATCCACCACCACCTCCTCCTCCGTCTCTAACAGAGTAGCAGTGTACGTGGACTTTCCTGCTGGAACTCTGTCCTTCTACAGAGTCTCCTCTGACACTCTGATCCATCTCCACACAATCAACACCACATTCACTGAACCTCTTTATCCTGGATTAAAAGTCTTTATGGGTGCCTCAGTGTGTCTGTGCTGAGTTGAGTGTAAAGAGTGTCCTCCTGTTAGAGAAACACTGACTGTTGAACAGATAGTTCAGTCTGTACATGTCTGTCTCTTTCACTCAGAAACACGTTTTCAGATTCATGGATTCAGTTGATGTTTTAAACTATTGATTGATGATGTGACTGATTCCTTGTAAATTTCTTCATCTTCAGGCCTGAAGCTCCGTTTACAACCAGCTCCTCTGCATTTTCATCAAGCCTGAGCTCATTAAAATGAATCCAAATGTTTGATTTCTCTTTCTTAATGGGATTTTTCCAAAGTCTCCACATGCTCTTACTGTTTCACTCATTGTTGGAAGCTAATAATTTGAAAATGTTTCAGCCATATAAGCTGAAAATATTGGCTCAATAGTTTTAAATGCAGTTATAACCAGAATATCATTGTTTTGAGGGATCATAATGCATATGGCTTATCTAATAAACAGCAAAGGCTTCAATCCTGATTTGAAAGTAGTCTTGTGTTTTTCCAATGTTGAACAAGAACATGGTGCAGGATGTTGGTACCAGCTTGGTTATCAAACACATGAAATATGTAAATATGTGTGTATGGCACTGCATATGTTGTGTATCACTTTAGTTTGTATGAAATATGAAAACTATCACAGTGTCCTGGTGAAGAATCTGCTGAAATTTCTGACAGACATTCGATTTATTGTCTTTTTGTTTTTCAATTTGATAAAATGCTGCATGAAAAACAAAGAGGAAGTGATGACAGATGTGTTTATGTCCACAAAGCAGAATGAGCTCTGTTGCTGACAATAAGTGATGTACAAAGAGAGTAAGCATTTCTGAGGACTTGGAAAGAAAAGAGAAGCACAATCACTGATTGTGAGCTCACCAACACACTTTGTTTGTCTTCACAGAGAAAAACACACTTCTTGCTGCTGATGTTTCACAATAAAAGCCACGATAAGAAACAGAAAAGCTGTAAAAAACATTTGATTGAATTGGGGGAAATGTCTGAATCTATCTAGTGTGATATTATTCTGTTATCATATGTTACCTTATATATGTAATCAAAGTAGTTGAATTATGATAACAGCTGTAGGACATATATTATCCTTTAGTTTAGATGGTGTGCTGTGTATGTAGTTTAGTCCTCATTATACTTTTGGGTTAAAAGAACATAATCATTTTGTAGTTCATTAGATAAGTGTGCATCACTCTGTATCCTTGATCTGCTGTGAATGTCTTACACTGTTTTCTTGACATGCTTTATTGTTGAATCATAAGGTTGTAAGCAGGAGACTTGGTGTCTAGGGCAGAAGAGATAAATCACATTCCATACCCCCACCTTCCTTAGAGCAGAAAGACAGGGAGCCAAGGTCAGGAGCCAGTCTCGCTAAGAATTAGAAAAACATGTGAAGATGTAGCTTTTATGACTAGGTGGGGGTCGTCAGAAGCTATAAGAGGTTGTGTAACCCGTCACCATTTTGAGATTTGCTGTGACCCTCTTCATGCATGTCTCCCCATCATGATGGTTCTAATGCTCATAAGTGTTGAATTGTGTGGAAATAAATGATTGTTGATTGAGCATTTATACACAGAGTACTGTCCTTCCTTCAGCCCAAAGATTAAAAGAATTGGGAGATTTCAACAACTTGGTGCCGTGTGACCCGGATCGTTGGTGTGCTGAGGAGGTGCAGATTTGGCCTGTGGTGAGATTGTGAGGCGAGGCGAACAGAGGGCGGCCTAAAACAGAAAGGTAAGCACAGCCTGTTGTATTATAAATACCAAATGTGCATATTGGGCTTTCCAAATTAATCTGTTTGCTGAGTTACATGTATTTTCACATTAAATTTGTCGGTGTCTGGTTTTTGGCGCAAGATACTAACAACATAAGTTGAGGCTGAATTCCAGTGTGTTAGATAAACTGCTTCTACCGAGAAACTAATAATACACTACGTTGAGCTAGTTGCAGTTAAACTGCTTCTACCGAGAAACTAATAATACACTACGTTGAGCTAGTTGCAGCCCACTTTACCTTCCACATTTAACTTTGTCTAAGACTGGCTTCTGTAGCAATAATACATTAGAATATCTTTTGGAGACGCGGCCATAAGTCCAGTACATTGAAAAGAGGTTTTGAAGTTAGTTTATGATGTCGGTTAAGTCCACGTGGATGCGACTATAAAATTGAATATAGAATTAAGGAAAAGCAGATGCTGGCTCATGGTGCAGTTGAGCACTGGCAACGCCAAAAGCGCAACACGTCCGTAGGTTTTGGTTTATGATACGGCCGTGTTCCGGTGATGCGGCTGTGAGTACAGTAGTGAGGGGTGCTGGTTTCAGCACATGGAATAGAGGTTTGACGGTGGTTTATGGTGTCGGTTGAGCCTCGAGGGCTGCGGTCATAAAATAATAAGTAAAATTTTACTTGCCATGAAATAAAGGTAAAGCAGAACCTGGTTTATGGTATCAGTAATAGCTTCGGGGATGTATGCATCACTTTTACGATGAGATTTTGCCCCGTTGTGGCGGCCATAAGCGCAGAGAAAGGGGTATTTTGGTCTATGGTCCGGTTGTGCTTCAGAAGAATTCTAACAGTTGAGCTCAGAGGTTTCTGTGTAAATTTCTGCTGATGAAAAGCGCGCTCTGAGTGTGTTTCTGTGTGTGAAGTGTGAGCACAGTCACAGTGACGGTTGATGTGTGACTAGGAGGACACTAGAGCAAAGACACATTTTAGGATCAAAGGTTGATGCCTAGTGGACCTGTGGAAACTAATTTTGTTCATGGTGTGGCGACCCTCCTGTCTGTGGACGCACAGGCCAGTCCAGCGGCGTCTGGGTGCCGAGGTGG